ATTGAGAGTAAAATAATTAAAATCTAAAATTTAAAAGTAACTAAAATAGCATAACATTGGTAATGTTTATTCAAGTTTTTTTTTATTTTATTTTAATTTTTATTTATTGAATTTTAATAAGAAAAAACCTATCTTAGAAAGTATTGGTGGAGGTTTTAAATAAATTTTTTTATTCATTTAATAAAATTAAGATATTTAAAAAATCAAACGAAAATTTGAAATGGGGTGAAGTCATCTCCATCTTCGAATTTAGCTAATTATTAACGATCCATTTCATTTGATCCATCAATCAGTTCAAAGCTAAATGCAAACCCAGCCCATTAATAATCCGCGAGGATCAAGCGATGGGTATCTTGTTTGAAAAATCAGAGTAGAAAAGGATTCAAACAACAGTTCAACAATTTGTTTGCGTTCTCTGGAAACTGTTCATAATCAACCATTAAAGATTCTTTCTCTCAATGCAACATCTAAACTGGAATTTTTGTTTCTATAGCTGTCGATGAAGCTGCCTGAGATGTTCTTCGTAACAATTTAATCGGTTTTCTCCATGTTTGCCATTTTGCAGAAAATTCAGGAAGATACGAAGAGAAGAGGCTCTTTCGATTTCTTGCATCGTCATATCCATTGTTGAATCCAATGTCGATTGTTCTTGCAAGGGAAGGTTTGCCATGCCTAAGTTCTTCTTAGGGGATTGCACGACGATACATTAACGTCAGATATTGTCATTAGTTGATGTTGCACGGCAACTGTTTGATGAAATGCCCAGCCGAAGTTTTGTGTAGTGGAACACCATGATTGGGTCAGCTTACTCATAATGGTGAGGAGAATGAGGCTCTTGGTCTTTCACCAAAGATGCAAAGAGAAGGAACCCTTCTAGTGAATTCACGGTTGAGAATTGTTGGGAAGGAGTCCCACGCTAGCTAATTAAAGGGTTGATCATGAGTTTATAAGTAAGGAATACATCTCCATTGGTGTAAGACTTTTTCGGGAAACCAAAGGCAAAGTCATGAGAGTTTATGCTCAAAGTAGGCAATATTATACCATTATGGGGAGAGTCGAGTTCTTAATTTGGTGTTAGAGGCATGCTTTTAACTTGGCCATGTCAATAGAATCCTCTTTAGTGTCAAATAAAGGATGTACTTTGTTTGAGGGCTCCAGAGAAGGAGTCGAGCCTCAATTAAGGGAAGGCTGTTCGAGGTCTCCACAGGTCTCATGGGAGACTCTATGGTGTACTTTGTTCGAGGGAGGATTGTTGGGAAGGAGTCCCACATTGTCTAATTAAGGGGATGATTATGAGTTTATAAGTAAGGAATACATCTCATGAGGCATTTTGGGAAAACCAAAAGCAAAACCATAAAAGCTTATGCTCAAAGTAGATAATATCATACCACTCTGGAGGAGGTTTGTGTTCGAGTGTTCTTTGCATATGTGCAGCAAAACATGCTCTTTCTGAATGTCAGCTGCCTCGTGCCTTTTCTGTTTAGGGGGCGATGTATCTGAATGATGTTTATGCAAAATGTGGTTTCATAACGAGAAGCTCGGTCCACAGCCACTATTTTATGAAGCTAATCTTGCCTCGAGATTTGTTCATAGAGATGTAATAGTAAGGGATACCAACAAATTTCACTATTTTGAAGAATCGTTCCTATGCTCTCTATTCTTGTGTTATTTCAACAATTGTGTTCGCATGAAGCATTGTTTATAAAGATGTGAAAATCTTTATAAAAGTGGAGAAACCTCTCTCTAATAGACACATTTTAAAGCTTGAAGGGAAACCCATAAGGGAAAGCCCAAAGAATACATCATCTAAGTGGGCGGTGGATTTGGCTGTTCCACTCTCTTCTCACTAACTTCTCTCCGCTCTCTATTAAGAAAGAGAAGTTAGTGAGAAGATTCACTCGTGAGTCAAGACAGAGTAGGTTTACAATCAAAGTTATGATCGTCACTAATGATGTCTGGCAAACCACTTGGGCGCAATTTCATGTAAGGAGAGACGTAATGCGAATGTATTTTTAAAATTTATAGAGAAAAAGGTTAATATATATGAAAATTAAATCTAGACATTTTAAAATATAACGAACAAAATGATATTTTAACCAAAATTTAAAGCTACTTTCAAAAAATTAAAAGCTTTATTTTCACTTTAGAAATTATATAAAAGGTTAGAAAAAGAAACTAATTCATATATTAATAAAATTACACTTTTAGTCCTTGAATTTTTTTTAATTTGATATTTTAACCTTCAAATTGAGTTTAATAACCGTTTGGTCCCTAAAAATTTATTTATTTTTCCTTATATATTTATTATTTTATTTTTTCCTTTCCTAAATAAATGTAAATCGTTAATAAAGAAAGAGCAAAAAAACAAACAAATTGTGAACCGTTAGATTCAAATCCGAGTTCAATTACGTGACGTGGCAGAATCTGAATGGATAGGATAAGAAAAGTACACGAAATCATACTCCAGAGGCAAGAAACCCTAAAGTAGCCCGTCTCTTATATCTCTCCCTTTCTCGCATTAGGTTTTCTCTCAAGTCGCGGCCGCACCACAACTTCGCTCTCTCTTGTACTCTTCGGAACCCTTTCGTCCTCTCCTTCTAGGTCCGTTCTTCTAACTGGATTTTCTAATTCTCTTCTTGATGTGCCTTTGTATATAGTTGCATGTTCTGTTCACGTTGAGTTTCTCAGTTATCGAGTTTGTTGGATTCATCCTTAGTTCTTCTGTTTCTGAAAATTTAATTAACCGTAGATTCATTCTGCCTCTTTCTTTTTTTTAGTTATCAGAATTTTTTTGAGAGGTTTTGTGAATCTGTTCAGTTTCTGATGAGAAAGAGAAGCATCTATCGCCATTGTTATGTTGCGGGCGTTTATTTTACTTTGGTTGCTATTTTGTGAATCATGACCCCTTTTAGATTTGGAGATGTTTGAGGTTATATGTTCTTTGTGATGATCAATGGTTTTTAAGAAGCTTGTAGTTACCCGATCCTGATGTTGGATATACATTTTTTACAAAATGCGTGTCACAAGATGTTTATGCATTTTCTGTTTTTATTTATCAATGTTGTTCTTAAGTTTTTCTTCCAAGTGCAGAGCAGGGTTGGAAAAATGAAAATGAATTCAAGGTCCATGTTATTGTTCTTGTGTGTGGAAAAATACCACCTAAATTCAAAGGGTTTTGAACTGAGTGAATTGATTCTTGATCTAGCTTAAGACCGTTAGGATGTATGTTTAGGATTTTGTTTGACACTGTCAGCTCTTTTCGTGGTTGAAAAACTCGTTCAATCTAGGTTAGGCTGCTGATTCTCATTGTTTTTCCCAGGTAAAGTTTGGTAGAAGATGGGTCGTGTTCGTACCAAGACTGTGAAGAAATCTTCACGCCAGGTGATTGAGAGATACTACTCTAAAATGACACTGGATTTCCACACTAACAAGAAGATCTTGGAAGAGGTTGCGATCATCCCATCTAAGAGGCTCCGAAACAAGATTGCTGGTTTCTCAACCCACTTGATGAAGAGAATTCAGAAGGGTCCAGTCAGGGGCATCTCATTGAAGCTGCAAGAAGAAGAGCGTGAACGTCGTATGGATTTTGTTCCAGACGAATCAGCCATTAAGATTGATGAAATTAAGGTTGACAAGGAGACACTTGATATGCTTGCTGCTTTTGGCATGTCAGACATTCCTGGACTCGTTGAGGTCGAGCCACAGGCTATGGCTCCACTCCAAGCTTTTGGTAGGGGTGCAGGTGGCCCGAGGAGATACTAAGGTAATCAAGATTACGCCACTGCTTTTGGGAATTAGAAGTTTTTTGTTATTCAATATCTTAAGGCCATGGACATTCTTGTTGCTAGTTCTCTTCAGATTTGTCCTTAAATTTGGTACTTGTCTTTTTAGTTTTGACTTTGAGTGGATGTTCAAATCATTCTGGACATGGATGATACTTTTGTTTTAAGTATTGATATTTCTGAAGTTAACATTTTGCTATTAGTCATACATCACAGCTGCAATTCCCCACTTATAATGCACTTTTCTAGTTTGTTCTGTTCATCAGGCATTTCGTTCTATTGTTCGTGTGGGATTCGTTCGATAAAGATTATGTTTGGAGTGATTGGTCTTTTAATTTGTATTCAAACTTTCTTAATGTATCTTTTGTCTTGATTTCTTCAAGTATTTAACAACAATTTCTAAACCTTATACTTCTTTTGATTATTCCTAATGTTCTTTTTATCTCTACTTTTCAGTGAACAATTTGGTCAATTGGAAGTGATCAAGTCGATTAAAATCGAGATCTAATGAAATTTCAATAAGCCTGTGAATTTTGTGCTATCATTGTTCTCCATTGTTGTGCTAGCACATCAATGAAGAACAATTATTCCTAAAATAATCACCGAAAATTGGACCTTTTTCTTAATATACTTGATTTTATGCAAAATCTAATTTCATTAAAAGACCCAAATCCATATTAGCTTAACCAACATTTTAAGAGACCAAATCTTTGTACTCGACTCCTAATTACAAAACATTGTGAAGGTAGTGATTTTTAATAATAATAATGATATTAATAACAATAAGGAAATTTGGCAATTAAAGATAAAAGGAAATTTGGGGTTCTCGACGAAATGGGTGGTTTTATTCACAATATTTCATTATCAAATGATTTTCAGTATGGTACAAGACAATGAAAAGGGAAGTGAAGAAAGGGAAGAAAAGGAACTTTCAATTCCTGCAAATTTACTTGTTACCATGGAATTTTGGGCCGTCGGCATTTATGGCTTCTCGCCGGCAGTCAAGTCGGCCAGGAGAGGAGGGCCATGGTGCTATGGCCAGCATTCTACTGGTTAATCGGAGATGGAGAAGGTACACCCCCTCGAAATCGTTGTTTCTTTTGATCATGAGTATGGTAGCATTTCGATGAGATATGAGCTTGTGAAATCCTGGTTTTGTTTTATATGAGAGCTCTCACATGAACATCTGGTATAATTTTGACCTTGATTGTAGCTCATGGGGAATGTGCTAACAGGTGGGTGCTTTGAATCTTTGATCATGTAATATTTTCTGGATCAACATGAAACATTAAACTTTCTGGATGTGAGATCTAAAAACATGAATGTATCACAAGAATCAGAGAAGAAAAAGGAAAACAACTTAATTTAAAGATTCAAATATGAATTTAGGATCATTCATTTGAGGGTAAAATTCTGTATGAAAATTTTACCTTTCGCTTACAGTCGATATCTTTCTTTGATGAAGATATGTGAGAAGATTTTGTAATATCTTGAGTCCATTTATACTAATCTCTGTAAGATAAGCAACTGAAAATAACATATCTTGTTAGCATCTACCACGTTACTTTTGTCCTTCTCGAATTCAGTGCTTCTTTCATTAACCTTAATGATATATCATTGATAAGATTCAAGAAGCTTCAAGTTGTAGAATCCTTGAGTATCTAAGTTAGTTGTTTCCGAATTCGTTCTCAAGGAAAATAGGCTGAATATTGTAGATGCCTTGTAACATCCCAAGGCCACCGCTAGTAGATATTGTCCATTTTGGCTCGTTACGTATCACCGTCAACTTCACGGTTTTAAAACGCGTCTGTTAGGGAGAGGTTTGCACATACTCGTAAGGTATGCTTCGTTCCCCTCTCCAACCGACGTGGGATCTCACATGCTTAATGGATAATACTAAAAGCAATCATGATAGATAGTATTTAGGAAATATGATTGATACGTAAGGAGGTTGTGAGATCCTACATCGGTAGGGGAGGAAAACAAAACACCCTTTATAAGGGTGTGGAAACTTCTTCCTAGCAGACGCGTTTTAAAAAACCTTGAGAGAAAGTCCAAAGAGGACAATATCTGCTAGTGGTGGACTTGGGCGGTTACAGAGGTCTTCGTTTCTATAGTGACCATGGTTGTTGAGGTTCTTATTCTAATTGCCAAGTTTTCGATGCTTTGTTATCGTCATTTTACTTCTGTTCTTTCTTTTTTGAAGTAAACAAATTGATCTAGGTTTTCTCTCTGTTATTGTGAAGCTGAACAAGGAAAAACCTAGATGGAGAACTTCTGTTCTTGGTACCAATCTTATCTCTATTGTTTTGTTCTTCAAGAGGTTAAGTAAGCAAGCATTTTCCACTAGAAGACAGATATGTTCATTGTTTTTGTACCAAGCAATAATGGAACCAGATTGGCTCCTATATTTGCACCAAAGGAATCTCTTCTTTTTGTATATGATTTAAATGGTGAATTTCTTTGAAGAACTAAATTACAGCATATGTTTAAACATTTTCCTTAAAATGGCTTCCTATACCTTGAATATCTTAACTAATATACTGTAATTGATCAATGATGAATCATATTTTTGGGAGAGTTGAAGATAACAATGGAGCTTTACTTCTTGTAATGCCCTTCACTCCTATGCATAGAAGGGATTCTTCCTGTGCACTTCGAACATATTTTTAGCCCGCTACGTATTGCTGTTAGCTTTACGATTTTAAAAAGCATCTGTTAGGGAGAGGTTTTCATGCCTTTATAAGAAATGTTGCATTCCACTCTTCAAACGATGTTGGATCTCACAATCCAACTCTCTTAGGGGCCAGTGCCCTTGCTGGCACACTGCCCGCTGTCTGGCTTTAATACCATTTGTAACAGCCCAAACACACTACTAGCAAATATTGTCTTTATCGCCATTAGCTTCACGATTTTAAAACGTGTCTATTAGGGAGAGGTTTACCCTCCCTTGTAAGAAATGTTTCGTTCTCTTCTCCAACTAATGTGAGATCTCACAATCCACCCCTTTTGGGGTCCCAACGTCCTCGCTGGCATATTGCCCGATGTCTAGCTCTAATACCATTTGTAACAGTCAAAGCACACCACTAATAGATATCGTCCACTTTAGCCCGTTATGTATTGCCGTCAACTTCACAGTTTTAAAACACGTCTATTAAGGAAAGGTTTCTACACCCTTATAAGGAATGTTCCGTTCCTCTCTCCAACCGATGTGAGGTTTGTTTCGGTTCTTCATGTTGGTATCATTGTGATTGTTTCTATGCTATTGCTTTTACTATTGAATATTTAAGTTTTATAGTTTACACAATTTCCAATAGAATTTAATTTATTGTTTTAACTCTTTGTATTTTAGCATCTCGACTTCAAGAAGAACTTAAGTGATAGCTTCTTTTCTTGGTAATCAAATTCGTCTATTTTGGAATGCTCTTAAAAGAGGCTAACTTCCATCTGCTTGTACAACACAGAGTCTTTAATTGAAGTATCAGATCTTCCAACTTTTGCATTTTAGAAATTTCTCGTATCACTTTACTTTCTAACATTGTAACGGTTGCTAAATCGACGTGATTATCCACGCAGGTCGACATGTTATAATTGTGTAGGTTTAGCACTTGCCTAAATACAGCTTAACCATGTGATTTCCTTGCGGTTCGCTTGGTTTTATTTGTTTTTACGAAACAATCTGTGCTTACAGATTTCCAATTGAGCATCTATGTATACCTATACCGATTTGCATCCATGCATTAACTTTACTATTATTTCTTCTGTTTTTATATAAATTGAGGAAATTTGTAGAAACCATTACTCACAGTTTTGCTTCAAATCCTCAGAAAACCACTAGATATCTGAGGAGTGGTGGTGGCAACCTAGAGAGCCATGTTCATAGTTCTGAGGAGTTGTCCTTGAGTGTCGTCGATCAACTAATCAAGACTTCGACAAATCGCCTGTTCTTCAAACCTCGTCCAGTTATTCTAATCTACCTATGAAGCAATCAGAAGTTCCTAACAAGGTATATCATACTCTGTTCGATTTTTTTTACCTCTGGGACAAAGACCTCCTCGTATTCAATTATAGCCAAATGATTTTGGTAGTCTTTGTTTTGATCTTGTTGTCTTTCCCTTACCAGGAAGATTATGATCTCTTTCCTTTCCCCAAATGAATCCTTTAGTCCATTAAGGAAAGATGAACACATAATCAAGGCATGTTTTGGTGAATTCTAATATATTTCCTATTTCTTGTTTGGTGGTTCTGGAAAAAGTTCCAAAAGAAGGAAACTAAAAGAAAACTTGCGGCGGATATAGGAACGGCTCCTAGTGAAAATAATGCATATTTGGATCTCAAACTATCACCTCCAGGGGTCTACTTAAGGGGTAAATCATCTAATGAATCGAAATCGTCGTCCCCAAGATCTCAAGACTCATGCGTATCTGCTGAGGTTGAGTCAAATGTAAACTTGGAGAATAATCTTCGAGATGAAAGCTCGTCTTTGATTGTGATGGGATGTACTTGTTGCCTCCTTTATGTCATGGTGACAGAGGCAGATCCCAGATGCCCTAAATGCAAAAACTATGACTTGCTCGACATTTTTCGTCGAAATCAGGTGAAGAGATCAAGAAGGAACTAGTTCGAGCACGAAGTTTACATGGTGGCTTGTGTTCAAATGCTCCAGTATGCTCTTGACCTGATGCACCCTCTGCCTTTTTTCTTAGTGTCCTACACCATCTTATTACTTGGGGAGTCAGAATTTGATAAAAGATATGGTTTATTTATATCTTTTTGCTCAGTAGTTTGGCTTTCTTTCCTTTCTTTTGAGAAGGCCAATTCACATATTAACTGTGATTATGATGTTAAAGAGTAAAAATTTTCCTTTCTTTGGGCAAATCACAGAGTTCATTCTTTTTTTGTGCATTTACTCTGTTGAAGGCTTTTCCGTGCATTCTGTTTTTTGTTAAGGCTGGGAACAGCAAATTCTCTTTGTCGTGTTCACAAATCGCCATTGGAGCTCATTAACCAGAACTGTATTCAGAAGAACAAAGAATTCAGCAATAGACTTGGTGAGTTCATTCAGGCTACCTTGTCTTGATCTTTCTTTTTTCTTTTTTACCATATTTGCTGCTTTCTTGAACCAAATAATGCTTGTTTTTAGGGATTTTCAGAAGTTCAACACAGTATAGTACTCTAGATTTTGAAGCTCTGATTTCTTCATTTATTTTCCTTTCAAGGTGTACATATATGGTAAATTCATCAATAATGAGTAGGTTCTTGCAGAGGCGGGGAGTGTAACTTAATCAATCTTCATTTATTTTCCTTTTGGAGATTAAAACAAAGGCAGTTAAACGTGTTTTAAGACTAAAACCAAAGCGTTTTGAAGATTGAAATTAAACCATTCTATAGACTAAAGGCTTTGAAAACTAAAGTTCACGAGGGAAGGAATCAAAGGACTATAGGATAGAGTTGAACTTCACTACATATATAAAATCAATATCAATGCAAATTCAAGTTCAATAGCAAGAATAGTTTGGTACGTTGAATGGGATTTGCTCTATCTACCTTTCATCTCTTACGCTCATCTAAAATCTAGTGAGAAATGATGATAATAAGGCTATTGCAGGGGTTTCATGCGAATCTTACACGGGATTGTCTACTTTTGATTGTTCCAAAGAAATTCAATAACTAAAAGTAGAGCAATCTTTATGTGACTGCACACGATATATTGACTCAAGTGATAGAAAGTCCAAAAGTGTAATCGATGAAAATTCCTTATTCTACAGATCTTTTTCATCGTCTAAACAAGCAAATGATGTCATATCCTTTTGTGATGATGGACGATGTAGGTACTTGCGAAGAAAGAATGGCTGAATTGAAAAAAAAAGTCTTATGTCGATGAAAGCGGTCAAAGAGAGATTATGAAATTTCCAATTCAATTGCTTTGTTGTCCATCCAACAATTTGAAGATATGGTTATGAGCACTATTAGAGCTCAATATGATGAATCTACTAAAAATTCTCTTATGTAACCTCACACTAGATGAATTGAGAATTTGAGAATGACTAGTACCTATCAACTCTAAAAATTTCAACAATTTGATGGAAATGAGTCGAATGATGCTCCAAGTAACATATTGCTCACTTTATAAGATGTGTGAAACTGTCAGACTTGTAGTGATCTTTTTAGAGGTCGGGTCTTATTTTGCATATACAAAGTTTTATATCAGTGACAGAAAAATTATACCCTAAAAAATTCCTTTGATTAAGGTAGTAACAAACAAGAGCATAAAAGATGAATTAAGTGAAGAAACAAACAAATGCACGCTTGTGATATTGCGTGCATTTTCAACTCCATGAGAAAGAAATTGAAAGAAATATTATTTTTTCCAAAGAGAATTCAAATATTTTAGTTAGGATCCCAATGAACATATTAAAAAGAAAAATACAATACTCATCCATCGTAATCATCTCATAGCATATTTAAAAAAAGTCATGCAAAAAAACTCATCTAATAAAATTAGACATGTATACACACAACATGATAACGCAAACATGAACATGTGGGACCCAAAATCATTTCAACCCAACTAATGAGAACAACTAAATCATTATCTTGAATTGTACCAATATTTTGGTTGTGCATCATTCATGTACTTAAACTTCTCTATTCTAATTGGATTTGTACACAATATTTAGTTTTAAATTCTTGGTCAAGTTTTAAAAATGCATGAATTAGGCCTTAATAATCACATTTAGGTAACCATTAAAATAGAGTCAACTTAGCATGTGCAACAACAAAGGGATCTCAATTTTGTATGCCATAGAACTTGGTTGGTGGGGAACAAGAGACCATATAATACTTAGAGCATGATTAAAAGGAACTTATGCGGGAGTGTGATTTGAAACATAAGAATCTTTTAATCCAATCGCCATAACATTTTTTTTTTCATCAATTCCTTTATTCCCCCAATCATTATCTTCTGTGCAATTCATGTACATATCCATATGCATATTATATAGAGATCGGAGACAAAGAGATGCACAAAATCAAGCGAGTTGCAGAGCAAGGTTTTTGAGATTACCAGAGCGAGGTTTTTGAAGATGAAGCTGCTTCCTTCTTTCTTCAAGAACAGAGAATCGTCGGACAGGCCATGGAAATGGCCGATATGCGGAAGCTCCAAAACTCCTTCATTCAGAGCAGGCGATGAAGAAATCTTCAAGACAGTCAACTCAGTCTTCTTCGACAATCTTCTCTCCGATCGAATCGAAACGCCTGATTCTTGGTTCGCAAAATCGTCGCTGTTCGAATCCGCAAGGTTTTCGACCGATTTCGACGACGATTTCGAAGTCGTGGTGCGAGGCGCGAAATCAGAGAGGCTGATCTTCGAACCTGGCGAAACAAATTGCATTATAAAGAAATCAGCAGAAGAAGGAAAGTGCGATTCGATTCGATTCGAAGGAAGCGTGGTTGTAGCAATGGAATCGGAAGATCCGTACCTAGATTTTCGAAGATCGATGGAGGAAATGGTGGAGAGTCTTGGAATTAGGGATTGGGAGTGTTTAGAAGCGTTGTTGAATTGGTTCTTGAGAGTGAATCAGATCAAGAATCATCGTTACATTTTTGGTGCTTTCGTTGATTTGTTGGTTAATCATGGCGGCGACGGTGGTTTTACGGATTCCACTTCCATTTTTTCCGATGAACTGATCATCCAGAATTCTCCACCATCCATTACGTAAGAAGAATTTTGGCCATTTTTCTGTGAATATTATTTTCATTACGTTTTGAAATTCAACTTTATTATTAGTTGATACAAAATTATTCTATCCATTCCTGATCTTGTAAATATTTATAATTAATTTTCTTCCACTTATCAAATAATTTAGATTAAATAATATAATTTTGTAAAAATAATTTTCTTATAATAAATTATAAATCAATATTAGTATGGAAATAATTGAAATAATAAGAAACCCAAATAAAAAGGGCTCGGTATATTTGGGCCTAAGCCCAAAAGATTGACCCAAATGTAGACTGGGCCCATATATGCAGCCATGGACTATTTGGGCCCGATGGTGGACCGAAGAAATTGTTACGTACGCCTCTACTTTGTTTCCAAATGCATCCTCAACCACAATGAATAAATAAATTTTGGTAATCACTAAATTTTTTATTTTTAATTAAAAATTTTCAATTTATTATATTATTTAAATATTGTTGTATATTAATTGATTTGACATGACGTACCATAACAATAGAAAATCAACCAACCGAATACAACAATAATATTATCAACTAATATGGGATTTTTTGAACATACTACAACTTCTGGTGGCGAAGAGCCGACATCGAGGTGTCAAACCTTCCCGTTGATGTGAGCTCTTAGGAAAGACCAGCCTGTTATCTCTAGAGTAACTTTTATCCATTGAGCGACGACCCTTCCACTTGGCATTGTCAGATCCCTAGAGTAACTTTTGTCCCTGCTCGACGGGTGGGTCTTGCAGTCATGCTTCCTTCTGCCTTTGCACTCGAGGGCCAATCTCCGTCTGGCCCAAGGAAACTTTTGCACACCTTCGTTACCTTTTGGGAGGCCTACGCCCCATATAAACTGTCTACCTGAGACTATCCCTTGGCTCGTAGGTCATGACACAAGATTAGAATTCTAGCTCTTCTTGAGTGATATCTCACTGATGGCTCGGGTCCACCTAAGCTGCGCAGGAAAGGCCCAAAGCCAATCCCAGGGAACATTGAAGCTTCATAGGGTCTTTCTGTCCCGCCCTTTGGGGTCGATAGGTTCTCACATTTTTATAAGAAATGCTTTATTCCCCTTTCCAGCTGATATGGGATTTAACAATCCACCTTTTGGGGTCCACAGGTTCTCACATTTTTACAAGGAATGCTTGGTTCCCCTTTCCAACGGATATGAGATCTAACAATCCACCCTTCGGGGTCCAGTGTCTTCGCAGGCACACCAGTCTTTGTTCGACTCTAATACCATTTGTAACAGCCCAAACTCAATGCTAGCCATTTGTAATAGCACAAACTCGACAGATATTGTCTATTTTTTTGCTTTCCCTCAAGATTTTTAAAACATGTCAGTTAGGAACAAGTTTTCACACTCTTATGAGTAATGTTTCATTTCCCTCTCAAACCAACGTGGGACCTCGCAATACCCTACCCGATCAAATATGATATTGAAAAGAGAAAAATCCCGACAAATCTTTATTTTTGTAAACAATAAACAATAATCTCGATTGGTAAGAAAGATAGTTGTCAAAATCAAAGCCTCCAAATTTGAAAAAAAAAAAAAAAAAAATCCTTAAAAGAATAAAGACAACTTTATGAGATGGATGAAAGAGTGAGAAGAGAATGTTTTGTTTCCATTCCATATGGATTGCCAATATAAATGTTTTTCTTTTTCTTTTTCTTTTTCTTTTTATAAAATTTAAAATTTAAAATAATATAATAAAAATAAAAATAAAACAATAAAAATGGACAGATAGTCCTACTCTCTTTTCACTTTAAGTCCTTTATTATTAGCACTCTTTCCCTTTTTTTTTTTTTTTTTTTTTTTTTTCTCATTTATTATTTAAATTATTTTATTAATCTTATTCTTAACAAAAGTTTAATCCTTCTACTTTTTCTTTAATTTCCCTCACCCACAAGAAAAGCACAAACATTCTCTTCCTTATATACTCAACAACTCTCTTACACTTACTTCAACTTTACATCAAGAACTGAAAGATGAGAGCTGGAATTTGCACTATACAACTTCAAGCTCTTAGCATCGAGGCCGAGACGACGGTGAAGCAAGCGATCGGGCTAGCACGTCGACGAGGCCACTCTCACGTCACTCCGCTCCATGTAGCTACTGCAATGCTCGCATCGTCCTCCGGTGTCCTTCGTAGAGCTTGTCTTCATTGCCATTCTCACCCTCTCCAATGCAAGGCTCTCGAGCTTTGCTTTAACGTCGCTCTTAACCGTCTTCCTACGTCGACACCAAACCCACTTTTTGGCCCTCAATATCCCAATCCTTGCCTTTCCAATGCCTTGGTTGCTGCCTTTAAACGAGCTCAGGCACACCAACGCCGTGGCTCTATCGAAAACCAACAACAACAACAACCGATTTTAGCTTTGAAGATCGAGTTGGAGCAGCTCGTTATCTCGATCTTGGATGACCCAAGTGTTAGTAGAGTCATGAGAGAAGCGGGTTTCTCGAGTACTCAAGTAAAAAACATGGTCGAAAAAGCTGTTTCCTTCGAGGTTAGTAATTTTTCATTCATTACAACCCAATTATACATCATTTTTATTGGTTTTTCTCTCT